TAATCAAAATCTGCTATTTAAAGATTTGGTTTGATTGCAAATTCGATTTTCATATTTAGTAAATCTTTTCGGATTTTGAAAATTTAGTTGGTTACAGATTTGATTTCTATGCATGAAGAGGCAAAAAATAGCCAAAATCTGCTATTTGAGGATTTCGTTAAATGATTACGAAGATGCAACAAATATTGACAATCTGCTGTTTAAAATTTTGGTTGGTTATAGATTTGATTTCTATATGCATGAAGAAGCAACATATAATCAAAATCTGCTATTTAAAGATTTGGTTTGATTGCAAATTCGATTTTCATATTTAGTAAATCTTTTCAGATTTTGAAAATTTGGTTGGTTATAGATTTGATTTCTATACGCATGAAGAAGCAACAAATAGCCAAAATCTGCTATTTAAAGATTTGGTTTGATTGCAAATTCGATTTTCATATTTAGTAAATCTTTTTAGATTTTGAAAATTTGGTTGGTTACAGATTTGATTTCTATGCATGAAGAGGCAACAAATAGCCAAAATCTGCTATTTGAGGATTTCGTTAAATGATTACGTAGATGCAACAAATATTGACAATCTGCTGTTTAAAATTTTGGTTGGTTATAGATTTGATTTCTATATGCATGAAGAAGCAACAAATAATCAAAATCTGCTATTTAAAGATTTGGTTTGATTGCAAATTCAATTTTCATATTTAGTAAATCTGTTCAGATTTTGAAAATTTGGTTGGTTACAGATTTGATTTCTATACGCATGAAGAAGCAACAAATAGCCAAAATCTGCTATTTAAAGATTTGGTTTGATTGCAAATTCGATTTTCATATTTAGTAAATCTTTTCAGATTTTGAAAATTTGGTTGGTTACAGATTTGATTTCTATGCATGAAGTGGCAAAAAATAGCCAAAATCTGCTATTTGAGGATTTCGTTAAATGATTACAGATTTGATTTTGATAATAGTTTTCGGATTTTGAAGAGGGCTAAAAACGTTTTCTCTCGATACGAAAAAGCAACAGATATGCATAATCTGCTGTTTGAAAATTTGATTAAATGGTAACAGATTTGATTCCTATAATAAATCTTTACGGATTTTGAAAAAGGCTGAAATAATTTTTTCTATGCAAGAAAAGGCAACAAATAATCAAAATCTGCTGTTTTAAGATTTGTTTAAATGGTAACAAATTTGATTCCTACAATCAATTCTATTCAGATATTGAAAAATTTTAAAAACCTTTTCTCTCGGAATGAAGAACCAAAAAAAAAAAATAACTATCCCCCATTTAAAAATTTGGTTTGATTACAGATTTGATATTTTCCAATTTTGAAAACGTCTAAAAACCGTTTTCTCTCAGGATTCAGAAACAACTAATCACAATCTACAATTTGAAAAATTTGATTTCTATAATAAATAAATCTCTACCGATTTTTGAAAACGTTTTCTCTCCGGATGACGGGGCAACAAATAAAAAAAATTTCTCGCACCATTAACGTCCGAATCAATACCAACTTATATGAACGCAATATGTCTCAAAGCAATAAATGTCAGACCCTGTTTTTTTGCTTGGAAATTGTATTTTATAAGTCATATTTAGCGTCTTATGATCACTGATCGTTAGATAAACTTTCCATCTTTGTATGTTGAACAAGATTTCTATTGGTCCATTGCCGGGGTAATAAAAGTCATCTACTGATCTTAAAACATATACCGTTAAACTATCACTAAAATGACACTGGAGGACATGCAAGAGGAAATTTTCATCCGCATGTATCATCTGTACCATCTCATCTTGTTGCGTTTTCTCGTGATAATAAAATTTTTGCGCGCATCAATTCTCCTATGGGTCGCACAAGCCAGAAATGTTCACTTTGACTCCGCCTTCCGTCAATCCGGATCCCATGGTTTTCCGCGACGTTAGTTTAAAGACCCCCATAACCTCGTTCGGCCCCTCGCCTTAAGCGACCTTTCGTGATGTCGACCTCCTTTATATCCCAACCACGTCATTGACCTAAACCTTCCAGAACTTTTGTGTGTGTGAGAGAGAGAGAGAAAGAGAGGAAGATGCTACTTTGTCCGAGTTGATATATTCACGCCTGCTTCAATCTTTCTCTTACAGTTTATCTTTCACATTCAATTTCCCCGCGCGCATATATAAGTGTGTGATCATTTCAATCGTTTTTTCAGGCATACCCAAAAATTAAATTTCTATTCTCTAAATCTGAATCAGGAAATTTTTTACTATTTCTTCATCAAATGAATTAGTAACCTTTTGGCAAATTTTTGGATCAAAAATTAATTAACTAAAAAACTAATTACTAACTGATGGTAGAAAATTACTAATTTATTCTGTTGAAGCTATTATTAGTTTTTATTACTATTAATAAAATAATTTACACTGTTTTTTTGAAGGTGCTACTTCAATTCTAAAAGAAATAATAACTATTTATAAAAAAAATATATTTCTAACCTTAATCTGCAATTGATATTTTGTACAAAATCCACTGGAAGCACACGCGATTTAAAAAATTGGAATACTTTCAAAAAACCACGTTTTTAAATACTTAAAAAAAAACACTTTTTAAGGTTCTAATTTATGATTTTTTAAATTTTGAATACTTCCGAAATTATTAAATTATAAGAAACAAAATACTTTTTCTAATTATTTAAGCGATCGCGATTTTAAGAATTTCGAACACTCTCGGAACAAAAAATTCAATAAAATGCCAAAAAGTTACACACTGTAAAATTTTTTTGTTCGGGAATTAAAAAAAATTATATTGTATTATTAATATTAAATAAATAATAAATAAATATTAAATTATTAAATTAATATTACGTTAATATTTAATTATTAATATTTAATAAAAATTAAATTGATAAATAAATATAAAATTAAAAAATTTCCCGAAGCTATTCATTATTAAAATGTGAAAACATAAAAAAAAGAAAAAAAAATTTTCACTGCTTTTAAAATTACAAAAATTTATACTCGAGCACGTCTAAACAGGTCAATACACGAATTGCAACTGATTACAATTGTCTTTGGAATTTTCCAAAAGCATTGTTATGATCTGAGCAATAAGTTACCCTTTTATTGCAAAGTAAATAAACAGCACGGCACGCATGTATAAAGGTAATAAAATTTCAAAATCACATTGACGCATATCAAATATTTCGAAATTATAATATTTAAAAATATTAACTAAATTTTGAATCCGACAAATATTTAATGTTTCCATTAACTGCATTTATTTATATGAAAAATATAAAAAAAAAGTATTATATAAAAAATCTAATGAAAATATTAAATAAAAAACCTTAAAAAATATTGTATTAAAAAATATTTTTTATAAATTAAAAAAAAAATAAATAAAGTAATATTCAGATTTATTTAATCGATTTTCTCTATATTAGGTACTCTATTTCGTTAATTATTTCATTTCGCGGCGAGATTAGTGAAAGTAATAACCTTTTAATTTCGATAAAATTAAAAGGCAAACTTTTCCTCGAGGAAGAATCTGCAAATAATTCTTCCAATCGAAGGTCACTTCCATTAAAAAAAACAAACAAATTGTAAAAGAATTAAGTAATCAATTTTTTTTTCAAATTTCAAATATACTTTCCAAATACTCGACATTGATCTAAATTCCCATTATATTTATATACAATGCAAAAGCTATAAAATTGGAAAATGTTACCATCACAAATCTTGCTTTTTTAAAAAAAATTTCTAAAATAAACTTTACGTAAAAAATATATTTTCAAAGACAAAATAAATATTATTTTCAAAGGCAAAATAAATTTTATTTTCTCTTTAAAAAAAATAAATAAATAAACAATTTAACCGCGTGCGCACGTGACAAGATTGATTCACATCTTTATAAAAGCTTTCGCTAGCAGATTTATTCGTGACAGTAATATTCCAAAGCGATTTTATAGCACTCCATATATATATATATATATATATATATACAATCATGACTTTGCTTTTATTAATGAAACAATTTGTTTGTCTCTTGTAAGAAAAGTTGTTGGGAGAATAGAAAACCACCTAGTTATTTAATTTACGATAAAAGTGAAGTAATTGCTACGGCATTATCGCAGAGAGAAAAGACACTTATAATAGAGAAAATCTCTTCCAATGCAAATTTATTAGACAGACAAAATAGTCATAAAATTCAATTCTCTCATTGTCAAAATAAAAAATAATAAATTACACAAATTTTCTCAATTTAATAATAAATTAGTTTCTTCATGTAGAAAAAAAATGGCGGGGGGAGGAGGAGGAGGAGAATGTTTCTTTTATTAAAGAAGAAAATATCGAGTCTTGTGATCAACAATAAGAAATGACAAAAGACACTTTTGTCAATCGTTGCTAGTGGGTATATATTGTAAAAAAAAAAAAAAAAAGAAAGTTGCCTCGTTATTCATGAGAATAAAATGGCAATGAAAATGAAATAATGAAACAGCTAGAGAGTTATATTCGTCGTCGCGAGAAAATTTAGAATCGTCCCTTGTATGGGAAGCTAATGAGCACACCTCCTGAAGCGAAGGATCTTTTGGTTCAAGGGCACGGTCATTGTATATATACACAAGTTGTAAAATTATTTCTTTCCCATAAGAATCATGTCTCTTTAGAAATAATTTTTTTTAGGAATAATTATTTAGCGCACAGTCGCGAAAAAATTGATAGAAAGTAATAAAAATAATAAATTGTAATAACAATAGCAAAAACAACAACAATAATAATAATACTAGTAATAATAATAATAATAGTAATAATAATAATAGTAATAATAATAGTAATAATAATAGTAATAATAATAGTAATAATAATAATAGTAATAATAATAATAATAATAATAGTAATAATAATATTAATAATAACAGTAATATGTAATATATATAGTAGTATGTAAAAATAGTAATAGAGCAATAATAATCAGTAATAATAACAATAATTCAGATATTAATGCAATCGTAAAAAAATTATTTCCACTCACCTCTCGGGCTTGATCTTCAATACTGCGAAGAACTGCAAGATTTCTGATGGTGGCCCGTCGTGATTCGAATGATGATTCCAGTCTCGAGGCGACAGTTCCCACTTCCTCCAATATTCTTTGCGCTCGTTCCAGAGATAATCTGTAATTATAACCATTAATTTTTCCCTTCAGTAATTGTTACAATTTATGAATTAAAAAATTTAATTATTTCAATTATTAATAAAAATTTTAACACTTAAAGTAATTTATCAAAAAAAAATAAATTAAACACGGAAAATTAATTAAATACTGTACCATTTTATTTAAAAAAAAAAAAAAATTGAATTTTGAGATGATACACTGACACCGGCAAAGAAAATACTAAACGTCTACCTGAGATAATTTCCAGAAATACCCGCATTAAATTTTCTTTTATTTACATCTATAATTATTATTTATTTCTAAATTAAATTGAAAATCATCTTCAAGGACATGATCTTCAATATTATATAAATAAATATAATCACAAGGGGTTTGGGGTTGGAAAAATATTATTCAAAATATACTGAGTGTTCAGAATAAAAATAGAAATAATATAGAATGAAATTGAAAATAAAATAAAAAGTATTAAATTAATTAATATAAATTAAAAGTCCATAGAGAAAATTTTATAATAATAATTCGTTATATTAATTAATTAAATATATTAAATGAGCGTTGGAATTTTTTGTGGTTTTATTAATAATTGAATATAATATTTAATTAAAATTAATTAATAATTATTTTAATAATTTTTTTTTAAATTATTAATATTAACAGTATCTAAGAATAATTATTCCAGTAATTAATAATATTAATTTTAATCAACAAAATAATATAAATAATTATAAAATAAAAAAACCTTATTAATAATTAATGTTATTAATTAATAAAAATTTTCAAAAGCTTATAAAATACAAATATATAATATTGTTATTATTATTATTATTATTAGAGAATGATCATAAATAAAGGAAGGAAAGGTCCTCTATTCTTATTTACATATATCATAAAATGACAATCCATTCTTTAGGGTTAAATGGAACGAGAACTCTCGACTTTTACTTCTTGCCTTTTATATTGAGTCTCTAACAATAAGTACAGTCAAGATTTCTCATTTGTGTTTCGCGAACGAGTTTTTAGTTCATCTAAATTCTTTTCTTGACGAGAAGAGACAAAGTAAACGATTCACAACTGAGTTTCCAGGATGTCCTTTTCGAGAAAGTATAACGACTTTGTGTCTTTTTTTTTTTTTCATTCAAACTGACGACAGAATTCATTTATTTTTAATAATGACAATATTCCAAAATTTCAATTCAAAAATCATGTCTCGAAACATCAAAAGATTATAAAAAAAAAACTAGGAAAAAAAAAATAAATAGAAAATTTATTAAAAAATATAATAAATAATTAATAAAATATAATAAATACAATATAAAATTGTATAATTAAATTTTTAAAAATAATTTATTAAAATAATAATAATTGTAGAAAAAAATGTTTGTATATGAATTATATAAAGAAGCGTGTATTTAAATAAAAAAAGGAGATCGGGCATGAAAATTAAAATTATTCAAAAAGAAGATTTCGCTTTAAATGCAAAAAAGAATTTTAATATTTGGCTCACCTGACGTTGTCCACATGTGAGAGTGGAACAGCTCGTTCCTCGAGGGAAGTCATCGTCTCGTCGGCATCACGGGCTGTTCTTCGCGATGTGGGGTCTGCAAGTAGTCGGCTCAGGGATGTCAGACTTCCGGACAGGTTGGTACATTCCTTTAGTTCAGACATTTCCAGAGCTAACCGTCGTCCTGCAGCCTGCCACTCGGTCATCAGGCTGTCGTACTCCTTGTAACATTGAAATCCAGGTCAATAACAATTCACCGAAAATTTAAGAAACACAATTTTCATATACACACATTATTAACACCAATATTTTTACTTATTCAAATATTTCAATATTATACTTTCTTTCCTTCTTTCAAATATTTTCATTACAATATTAATTTATTAAAAAAAAAAAATCCATCTAATTTTTAATTAAAAAAAAAACAAACAATATGGGGAGGAAGAGAATTTGAAAGCAAAAATATATCATTAAAAAAATTTGTGCGTTATAAAAATTTTGTGTGTTGATTGCAATTCGTTTGGACACTCGCATGTTTCAATCATAAATCATAAAGGTGAACACATCTCGTTGACTGTCAAATAAGGCTCGATCGTCGACACACACGAGAATGGAATGTGGAACGACTACACCTGCCGTCTACCCACTGTCTGTTTTAATACACACTCACGTGTGTATCACGTTTGAATTCGCTAGCATATTATAAAGCGACGCGCATCGCGAATTCAAAGAGTTCTTCCGCTAATGTTTATTAAAACTTGATTTGAATATGAAATATATACTAATAAAAAAAAGGTAACTATTTTGCATTACAATTATTTTCACAAAAAAAAAAGTTTCCAACCATTTTTGAAAGTGGTACCAACAATTAATTGTACCAAGAAATAATGGTACCAATAACTAATAATAGTACCAATAATTGATATTACCAATAGTTAATGGTACCAAGTATTAACAATACCAATGCTTAATGGTACCAATTATTAGTGGTACCAGTAATTTATGGTACCAACTGTTATTGGTACTAACTATTAGTGGTACCAGTTATTTATGGTACCCATTATTAATGGTAAAAGTACCTTATAGTTCCAACTATTAATAGTACTAAATTTTAGTGGTACCCATTATTAATAGTACCAGCAATTTGTGGTTCCAACTATTAATGCTACCAAATATTAATGATACCAACTATTAATGGTACGAAATATTAGTGGTACCATTAACAGTTGGTACCATTAACAGTTGGTACCATTAACAGTTGGTACCAATTATTAATGGTACCAGCTGTTAATGGTACCAGTTATTTATGGTACCAACTATTAATAGTACCATTTATATATGGTACCAACTATTAATCGTATCAATAATTTATGCTTCTAACAATTAAAGGCACTAACTACTAGTGGTAACAGTAATTTATGGTACCATTTATTAATGGCACTAACTATAAGTGGTACCAGTTATTTATGGTACCCATTATTAATGGTACCAGTACCTTATGGTTCCAACTATTATGGTACTAAATTTTAGTGGTACCAATTATTAATAATACCAGCAATTTGTGGTTCCAACTATTAATGCTACTAATTATTTATAGTACCAACTATTAATGGTACTAAGAATTAGTGGTACCAGTAGTTTATGATACCAATAATTAATGGTACCAGTTATTTATGTTACCAACTATTAATAGTACCAGTTATATATAGTACCAACTATTAATCGTATCAATAATTTATGCTTCCAACTATTAAAGGCACTAACTACTAGTGGTGCCAGTAATTTATGGTACCATTTATTAATGGCACTAACTATTAGTGATACCAGTTATTTATGGTACCAACTAATAATTGTTCCAATTTTTAATAGTACTATTAGTGACACAAACTATTAATGGTTCAATCTACTAATGGTACCAACTATCTATGGCACTGGTAAATAATGCTACCAACTATTAATGATACCGTTAGTGATATCAGTTACATGTGGTACCAACCATAAATGAAACAAAGTATTCATAGTACCAATAATTAATAGTACCAACAATTAATGTTGCCAAATGTTAATGGTACCAACTAATCATGGTACCAACTATTAGTGGTACCAACTATTAATGGTACCAACTAATCATGGTAATAACTATTAATTATACCAACAATTAATGTTGCCAAATGTTAATGGTACTAACTAATCATGGTACCAACTATTAATGGTACCAACTAATCATGGTAATAACTATTAATTATACCAACTAGTAATGTTACCAACTATTAATTGTACCAACTAATGATGGTACTAACTATTAATTATACCAAATATTAATGGAACAAACTATTCATAGTACCAATAATTAATAATACCAACAATTAATGTTACCAAATGTTAATGGTACCAACTAATCATGGTACCAACTATTAATGGTACCAGCTATTAATGATACCAACTAATCATGGTACCAACTATTAATGGTACTAACTATTAATGGTACCAAATATTAATGATACCAACTATTAATGGTACTAATAATAGTACCAATGATTAATGATACTACTGATTATTAATGGTACCAATTATCAAAAACACTAATAGTTTAGCAAAAAAATATACATAAAAAATAAAATAGAAAACATTTAGCAAAAAAAAAAAAATGCAAACTTATTTACGAACACTACGTACATAAACTATATAACACGTAAATGTCTGACAATAGAAAAGGTCGTTTAAATGCAAAAAAAGTACCGTCTAGATCGACAAGCGGGATAAGAAGATTCGAAAGACGCAGAAAAAAAGACCGCTTAGAGTTGTTTTAGCTAAAGATTATTGTAGACTTGAACTTGATTCGGGAAACAAAGGAACGGCTCCGATTGTTGTATAGAGATTAGATGAAGGGATTATATTTACCTTGTAGAAGGCTACCCATTGAGCATGACTGTAATTCGTTTCTCGCCTAGGGATGTATTTGTCCAGGGTCGATTGGTCCAGGACGATGGTCTGAAAATAGCAAAAAAAAAAGAAAAAGAAAAGAAAAATAAGAGAATTACATTTTAGTTCCCCTTCAATTATATGAGACGACGACGAGACAATATACTATTAACGTTGTGAATTAACTATTTAAGGCTCTGTGTATATATATAGAAAGGGGGGGAGATATGTTAGAACACGCGGAGAACAAATCGACTTGAATTACCCAGTGTTAAATACCAAATGGGTACTTTATTGCCGTCACAATTGCATTATGTCGTTATACGTTTTACAATAAAAGATCGTAGCCATAACAAAGTTTAAGAAATGTTTTTTTTTTCATTGACCCCAAGTTTCGATATTAATTTACCCTCTTTTCAATACGAAGGCAAAATATACTTTTGTATTTAAAAAACAATTAGTCCAATTTTTTTTTCTTACCTTGATTTGACTACGTGGGAAAGGATTGATCGCGCCTTCCATTGGTTGCAGAAGAAGGACCTGAGGTACTTTGATTTTGGCCTGCAATTAAAAATTTTAAATTTAATTTAATTCTTAAAATCGGTTCAAACAAAAAATGGTGAAAAAAATTGTACCAATAATTAATGGTACCAACTATTAATGGTACCAACTAATCATGGTACCAACTAATTATGGAACCAACTAATTATGGTACCAACTAATTATGGTACCAACTAATCATGGTACCAACTAATTATGGTAACAACTATTAATGGTAACAACTATTAATGGTACCAACTAATCATGGTGCCAACTAATCACGGTACCAACTAATTATGGTACCAACTATTAATGGTGCCAACTAATCATGGTGCCAACTAATTATGGTACCAACTATTATTGGTACCATTAATTTATGGTACCAACTAATCATGGTGCCAACTAATCACGGTACCAACTAATCATGGTACCAACTAATCATAGTACCAACTAATCATGGTACCAACTAATTATGGTACCAACTATTAATGGTACCAACTAATTATGGTACCAACTATTAATGGCACCAACTAATCATGGTAAGAACTATTAATGGTACCAACTATTAATTCTATCAACTAATGATGGTACCAATAATTTCAAAATTTTCAATTTAATTTAATTTTTAAATCAACTAAATTTTTTGTTCAATGTTTTTAAAATCGGTGCAAACAAAAAAAAATAGCCATTAATTGAGACTTTTTATTACTTATTTATTTTTAATTATTAATTATATAATTAATTTAATTTTACCTGTACTAAAAATAGGGCACGGTCTAGAAGTTCCACATTTTCATTAAGTTTGCCTAAGAGAAGAATTGTGAAGCCATCTTTTGTTTGGTCGGAGCTGAAACATAAACAAAAAAAAACATTAAGAAAACTAATTTCAAAATTTCATTTTTATTTATTTTTTTCTAATACAAAATAACGTTTGAAAATTTGTTATTAAAAATTGAAAAAAAAAAACCCCAAGGAAATAGACGAGGGCATCTTATTGTTGAATCTAAAACTGGAACACATAAATCGAATGCAGAAACAAACATTATATATATATTTGTGGTCGATTCCCACGTTCAGTGGGTTAACTATATAAACTACTGTCAACTGTATATATAATAGATAAAATCTAGCGACTTGGCGAATCGATGACATTTGCGACGCGATCTTTTTTTTTCTCTTTTAGAAAAAAAAAATGTACAGAATAAACATTTCTGGCATTAAATTATGACACGTGGGTGGTTTCACCTTATGTGTTTTGCGTTTCTCACGCGGCTCCTGTGTCACTGGGGCCCTCTCACCCCTACACCTGTAAATCCCACAAGTAATCATACTCAAACTGATATCCCACAAAGGCGTAGTCACTTCCTACTTTCAACTATTTCATTATTTTTTTCAAAATTTACCAAAACGAAAATATTTAAATAATTTCTATTTAAAAAAAAAAATTTTTTTTTATAAAGAGAAGTAAAAAAAAAGCTTAGAGATTTTCAAGACGAATAATTACGATAAAGAAATTGCATCCGCCAGTATGTAAAAAGATATGCCTTCGGGATGAGATGCTGACCATTAAAAAAAAAAAAAAAAAAAAACAGGGAGGAAAAATAAAAAGAGAATTAAAAAAAAAAGAAGACACGAATGTTTAATGGCTGATCGTTGTCAATTCTCGTCAGTCCTTTTATGGTGGGGACTCTGACAGTTATTATTTCGAATCACTAATTGTATAATCGTACGCGTTCTCTGTCACAATTTTTATTCACAATTTATAAACGCCCTCGTCTTACGCCCACATCTTTTTTTTATATCCTGTCAATTACAATCAGATCAAATGACAACCGAATCATTGTTGTCCTTTGAAAAATTAGTGTTACAAAAAATTTTATTATCATCTCAAAAATTAATAAAAAAAAAAATTTTTTGGCTAAAGAGATAATAGAAAATAAATTACAAAATAATATTAGTGGTACCAAGAATTTATGGTTCTAACTATAAATGGTACCAGTAATTTATGGTACCAACTATATATGGTACTGGTAGTTTATGGTACCAACTATTAATAGTACCAGTTATTTATGGTACCTGTATGTTTATGGTACCAACTATTAATAGTACCAGGTATTTATGGTACCGGTATGTTTATGGTACCAACTATTAATAGTACCGGTAGTTTATGGTACCAACTATTAATAGAACAAGTTATTTATGGTACCAACTATTAATGGTAGCAATTATTTATGGTATCAACTATTAATCGTATCAATAATTTATGTTTCCATCCATTAATGATACTAAATATTAAGGGTACCAGTAATTTATGGTACCAACTATTATTGGTACCTGTAATTTAGGGTTCCAACTATTATTGGTACCATTAATTTATGGTACCAACTATTATTGGTACCAGTTACTTTTGGTACCGGTAGTTTATGGTACCAACGAATTATGGTACCAGTAAATTATGGTCCCAACTACTAATGGTACTAAATATTAGTGGTACCTATAATTAATGGAACCAATTATTAATTGTATTAACTGTTACTTAATAGTGGTACAAACTATTAATAAACAGAAAATAAATAATAAAATATGAAATAAAATATAAAATAAAATACAAAATAAAGAGAAAGAATAAAAACCAAAATGTTATGGGTCGTTTAGTGTATATGCAACAGTGATAGGTTAAATCAAGAGTGTTTTTGTTGAAGTTCATATATGTATAGAGAGAGAGAAAGAATCGTATATGGAAAAGATCCACGTGGTTAGATATATAATTCACGTTCATTATACAAGTGTTGTTACGCCATTGCGTTGGATATATCGTATAGAAACTCATGCATTAAGTAACCTCATTGTAAACCTAGACCTTGCAGTGTGCCGGTAACATTCGTATCGCAACATCTCCTCGAATACCTTGTTACATTGGATAGGCAGTAAGTAGCCTGAGGTACAAATAAGAATTTCCAAGCACCCAATAACCCTCACATTTTCCCTCATATAAAAAAAATTTTTTTTTTCTTTTTTCATTCTATCTGTATTTACATGCAATAAATGCATTCATCCCCCTTTTTCCATCTCTCTTTCTCTCTATCTCTCACTCTCTTTTAGCTTATATCTGATTTCATACAATAAAATAATATAATTTACAATAGCCATTTTATCTCACTAGGTCAAAAGGTAAATTGCTTCTACAATTGTTTCCATCGTCAATACATGATGTTCCTCTTTATATGTACAAAACTATAACCAATATTAAAGATAATTTGTTTATCTCATATGGATATATTTTCAAAATTTGTAATTTTGTTTAGCAGATAAAAATCATTATTATTTATTAAACCATTTATTTTCTTTGAATATTTAAATGGCATCAAAGACCAATCCATTAATTAATGGCAACAAGGATCAATGTGACCATTAATTATGGTTACCAACAAATAATGATACCAACTATTAATGGCACCAACTAATCATGGTAATAACTATTAATTGTACCAACTATTAATGATACCAACTGTTAATGCTACTAACTATTAATGGTACTAAATATTAATGATACCAACTAATTATGGTGCCAACTATTAATGGTACCAACTAATTATGGTGCCAACTATTATTGGTGCCAACTATTAATGGTACCAACTAATTATGGTGCCAACTATTAATGGCACCAACTAATTATGGTGCCAACTATTAATGGTGACAACTATTAATGGTGCCAACTATTAATGGTACCAACTAATTATGGTGCCAACTATTAATGGTGTCAACTATTAATGGCACCAACTAATTATGGTGCCAACTAATTATGGTGCCAACTATTAATGGTACCAACTATTTATGGTGCGAACTATTTATAGTAGTAATGATCTTTGGTACCAACAATTCATGGTTCCAATAATTAATGGTATCAACTATTTATGGCACTAATTATCAATTATACCAATAGTTTTTGGTACCAATAATTAATGATACCAAAAATTAATTAGCTATTAATTGTTTTATCGGTTGATGGTACCAATAATAAATTGGCTATTAATCAATGGTACCGAGATTTAATGTCACCAAATATCAATGGGATAATTAATTAGCGGTACCAACAATTAATGGTACCAAAGATCAGTGTGATCATTAATTTTTGGTACAATTATTTATAAGATTAATGGTGTTGTTTCAATGATTCTTAATTTTGACACGATTTAGAAAAAAAATGTCATGAATAAAAATGAGATGCGTTTATAATCCCACCGCTGTCACTCCATTTTAATAAGATTTTCGCACGCAATAAAAAAAAAAGAAAAGAACAACAACAACAAAAAAAAACATTACGAAAGGCACACCAAAGTTTATTGGGTGTTATAACTCATCATGAAAATGCGGTCAGGTGCACAACTAGATCAGCGAAAGATCTCCCTAGTGATCCTATATCGTTGAATCTTCATCGTGACTATGTCTGCACGTTGTCATGATATACGATACATGATGAGGTGCTACGTGAGGCAAAAGATATGAACTCGACCGTTACTGACTATGTCCTATAATATTAATTACATTCGCAAAAACGTTCTCTATATATAAGAATATCGATATATCGAGAGATTATTATTAATGCGAAAACGATATTATAGTGCTTCGAGGCTATATATATATATTTATAAGAATATAAATAATAATCCTGACCAAAGTTTATTGTATAAAAAAAAATTTCATATCTAACTCTATGATTTCAAGTAACTTTTGCGATCAAACGAGAATGAGATTATCTTCGTAAATCATTTGAAAATCAAAGATGTGAATCTTGTTAATGGACCGTCACAATTATCCATAACATATAAAACACAGCATGATATCAAATGTTATTCAAATATGGAAATGTCTTTTTATCACCTGCTCCATTTTGTATTTCAAAAAAAAAAAAATAATTTCCGGTAATTACGCGCTGTTTTGAAAGTTGTTAATAATTGTCACTTGTCAACAAACTATTTAATTGAACTTCAATATAAAAAATTTAATTTATTTTTTATAAATTAATAATAAATTAATTAATAATTAATTAATAAATAAATTATTAATTATAATAAAAAAAAGAAAAATCCAATATCGCCTTTGAAAAATAGACATCATATTGCGAACTAAATGAAAAAGATATAAAATAGCTAATAGGAAGAAAATTTCTCGCCTTTACTGAAGCGATATATATCTATATATTTACTATACTGTCAATGACGATCGTAAAGAAGAGAATTCCAATTTGGTTCAGTATTATTTCTAAATTGGAATTTAATAGCTTAGCTTGTTAGTATTGACAGCTTCTTTTACTCGTGAAAGAACATAAGGTCTATAAAACATGTATTGAGTGTTTTCTTTTTTTTTTTTTGTTATCCAACTTATCGTGAACATAAGCTTTTCCATAGGCAACGGTTTTTTGTTGTGTCTTAACTGGCAAATGCAAATCTTACATATTATCGTTGCGCGAAAAGAAGCTGAAAACTAATACAGACATTTGGCACATCGCTCGTAAATCGAGTAAAAGCTTATTTATGGACTCCATAATTTTGCCTATTAAGTCCTTGCTTGCGCGAAATGCGCGATTGAATATCAAAAACCATAATTCAATGCTATATTAATTCCCATTTCGAGATATATATACACACACAAACAAAATAGGAGAGGGATATTGGCACGAGAGTGCATTTATATTACTTTTATAGACACATTTAAGAGTCTAATATCGTTTCACTTTGTACTTTATGATATCGTTAGAGCAAATAAGTGTGACACGCTGCTGCTCTTAGACTTATCGACAATCTCTCGTCACATACACACAAAACATACACTATAAGTATACAAAAGAATTGAATTTATACTGATAGAAAAATACATTGCTCTTTTCAAAATGTTTATCGCGATTGTATGTTCTCGTTTGTAATTCGTATCGGTAACGATGAATTGTATCAATGATAAGAAGTACCAATAAATAGCTGGAACTATTTATGGTGTTAATAATCAATGATACCAATGATTATTGATACCAATGCTAATTGGTACCAACTATTAAGGGTACCAGCTATTTATGGTACACATATTCAGTGGTACCAATGCTTAATGGTACCAACGATTTATGGTACCAATAATTAATTGCACTAAAGATTAATGGTACCAATAATTACTTGTACCAATGCCTAATGGTACCAATGATTTATGGTACCAATAATGATTAATGTTACCAATAATTACTGGTACCAACGCTTCATAATACCAAAAATTAATGATACCAATAATTAATTGCACTAAAGATTAATGGTACCAACAATTTCTAGTACCAACGCTTCATGATACCAAAAATTAATGATACCAATGATTTATGGTACAAATATTCAATGGTACCAATACTTAACGATACCAAAAGTTAATGGTACCAAATATTTATTGTACAAATATTAAATGGTACCAATGATTAATGGTACCAATAATTAATTGCACTAAAGTTTAATGGTACCAATAATTACTTGTACCAATGCTTTATGATCCCAAAGATTAATGGTACCAATGCTTAATGGTACGAACGATTTATGGAACCAATAATTAATTGCACTAAAGATTAATGGTACCAATAATTATTTGTACCAATGCTTAATGATCCCAAAGATTAATAGTACCAATGCCTAATGGTACCAACGATTTATGGTACCAATAATGATTAATGGTACTAATAGTTACTGGTACCAACGCTTCAAAAAACAAAAATTAATGATACCAACGATTTATGGTACAAACATTCAATGATACCAATAATTACTGGTACCAACGTTTCATGATATAAAAAATTAATGATACCAATGATTTATGGTACAAATATTCAATGGTACCAATACTCAACGATACCAAAAGTTAATGGTACCAATGCTTAATGGTACCAACGATTTATGGAACCAGTAATTAATTGCACTAATGATTAATGGTACCAATGCTTAATGACACCAATAAATAATGGTACCAACTATTTATGGTACAAATACTCAATGGTACCAATGCCTAATGGTACTACGTTTTATGGTACCAGTAATGTTTAATGGTACCAATAATTACTGCTAGCAACGATTAATAATACTAAAAAACAATGGTACCAACAGTTAGTGGTAAAAATAATTAACAGTCTCGATAATTAGTGGCACTATTAATGGTACTGACGGTTAAAGGTACCAATGATTAATGCTCCCTGTAATCAGTGGTACCAACAATTAAAAGTACAAATTGATAATAACATAAATAATCAGTAGGATCAACTAATTATATTGCCAACGATTTATGGTACCAATAAATAATTTTACCACTTGTAAGAAGACTAGAAAGTTTAAATAGAAATAAAAAAAGAAGAGAAATAAAAATTGAAAAACAGATAATTATAATAAATGATAAAACTATGCAAACATATTTTGCAAAAAAAAAATCCCTCTCCTTGGGAACATTAACGAAAAAAAAGAGTAAATTTTTTAACTTTGAATTTGATGTGAAAATTGCCTTATACGCATTTTAGCCGCCCACTAATTAGTGTCTTAACTTTCACGATATTACGATCTTTAGTCTTCTTAGTAACAAATTCAAGCGAACTTTGATTTTCTTTTTCTTATACTTATAGACACTGTTTATCGCGTTAATGGTTATAGCAAAACTCAATGTTGTATTTATATTTATGTGTATGTATCTATGTATGCGGAGAAAGTGGAGCTTCCGTGTATCACATCATTATCGTTGACTTAACAAACGGACATTAATAGCCGGGATCATAATAAATCAGTTATTTATTAATTTGTCGAAGAAAATCCATAAAAAAAAAAGAAAAGGAAAAAATAAGAACAAAACAGTGCCAACGTGAGAGAGAGAAAAAAATTTGTTTTAGAAGTGCAGTAATTTTGACTGTATATATATCGATATATTTATATATATATATACATATAATTCCCTTATTATTTATTCATATACTGATAATAATTATGATTCAGCAACTATGCAAATTCAAGATCCGGTTGCTCTCAGGATCTATCGTGTTGCATGTTTCGTCGAACTCTAATCATCAGTTCTGCTAAAATTACAAGGCAGTCATAATAATCTGCACACTGATGCACTTCCGACTGATCTAACGATGAGAAAAAAAAAATTTCATACACGCCTCAATCTTCTATATATTCTGGAAAAATTACTGAATTTTTATCTCAATTTTAAATTCAAATTACTCTAATCTATTTTTTGTTTTTCTTTTATTCGTTTACTTTTTCTTTTAGTGAGAGAAAGAGAGAAATATTTAAAAAAAATTTTATTTCTATAATGTATAATTTTTATTTATATTAAAGTTAATTATAAACCGTAATATAAGTATTTGAAAACCGTTGCTATAAAAACTATTGCTATGGAAACTGTTACTATCGAAACCGTTTCTATGGTTAACCATTAGTTGGTACCATCAATAATTGGTATTAATAATAGTTGGTACCATTAATAGTTAGTACCAGGAATAGTTGGTACCAATAATTAATCGTAGCAATAAATAATTAATGGTACCAACAATCAATGGTACCAATAATTAATGGTACCAATAATTAATGGTACCAATAATTAATGATACCAACTATTACTGGTACTAACTATTAATGGTACCAACTATTATTAATAACAATTATTAATGGTACCATTAATTGTTGGTACAATTGATTGTTGGTACTAATAATTAATTGTAGCAATAATTAATGGTACCAACAATTACTGGTACCAATAATTAATTATACCAACTATTACTGGTACTTACTATTAATGGTACCAACTAATATGATACACTAATGATACCAATAATTAATGATACCAACTATTACTGGTACCAACAATTACTGGTACCAATAATTAATTATACCAACTATTACTGGTACTTACCAATAATTAATGATACCAACTATTACTGGTACCAACAATTACTGGTACCAATAATTAATTATACCAACTATTACTGGTACTAACTATTAATGGTACCAACTAATATTAATTAATTGATTGTTGGTACCAATAATTAATCGTAGCAATAATTAATGGTACCAACAATCAATGGCACCAATAATTAATGGTACCAACAATTAATGGTACCAATAATTAATTATACCAACCATTACTTGTACTAACTATTAATGGTACCAACTATTATTAATAACAATTATTAATGGTACCATTAATTGTTGGTACTATTTATTGTTGGTATCATTAATTGTTGCAACCATAAATCATTGGTACTATGGATTACTAATATAATTAATAGTTGGTACCAATTATAATTGGTATAATTAATTGGTACCATTAATTGGTATCATTAATTATTGGTACAATTAATTGTTGGTACCATTATTTGTTGGCACCATTAATTATTGCTCCGTTGCTATGGAAACTGGTACTTGGAAATTGTTGCTATGGAAACTGTTACTATGGAAATCGTTGCTATGGAAACTGTTACTATGGGAACCTTTGCTTTAATAGACGAATTGTAGTGTATGGACAGACGGACGGACACTAAAGCCATAGTAAATAAAAAATTAAAAAAAAAATTGCTACAGGAAATAAAAAATCATGAAATAGTACTTGTTAGTACGATAGGATGTATGTTAGTGGTTCGTCAGAAAATTGTTATGGAACTTCATATCGCTAGAAGGGTGTTTGGAAGAAGCTCTTTTGTTTTCGAAGGACAGTGAGCTAGGCAATAGGGTATGGTTTCCCATAAAAGACCATGCGATGAACGATACTGCAATATAGGTTGACCAAAGCCGCTATATATATATGTATGTATGTATGTATGTATAAACATGAAATGTTTTATGGTTTAGAGAGTACGCGAATGCGGTTAAACGAGCGTCGAGGAGGGCTCGTAACTTTCTGTCGATGCGGGCGCGCACACACCATACACACCATAGTTTACGATCCACCTAGGACTTTCGCGATGAGAGAGGCCAGAAAATGATCGACCATGTAATACCGTTTTTACTTTTGCCGGGTTGCTTCTTTCATTTCGTTCCCATTTGGAACTCTTTTTTTTTTTTTTTTTCTTTACAAGATATTTTCCCCTTACTCCCTTTTCAGTAGTATTGATGGGGAGGTTACAAAATGTACTGTATATTTTTGTTAGGTAGTATAGAAAAAAAAAAAAACATTGTGGGCAAAACTTGTGAGACGCCTTGTGGTATTTTACGACACTTACCTTGGTAAACGAGTGAGGTAGAGGAGAAAGGACGCCACTTCCCGTGCAGAGAGAGTCTCCGTCCTTTTTACATTGCTGTCGAACTCCAGGACTGGTCTCCCTGTAGAATCCGAATAGCCTGGACAAAAAAAAAAAAACAAGAAAACAATAATTAATTAAATTCATAAATTATATTTACTTTTGATATTGTGATAAAAAAAATATCTGTATTTCAATAAATTTATTTATTTATAGAAAAGGATTTTAAGAAAATTATTAAACTATTGTTAAAGAAACTTGCGGTGTCTAAAATATATATATGTTTATAAATAGTCAAGCCCTTACTGAGAATTTATGATTGGAGCGTATTCAAGTATATATATATATATTCAAACACTAGGTTTTCCCATTAAAACGCTGACAATGCCTAAGTATTGTTTGTTTCCCGAGAAATATTCTCACCGCAAAGTTGGAACAGCTGGGGAAATCACGTGCGAGGAACACTCGCGTGGATATAACATTGGGTTGCACTCAAATGGTAACGTGTCCGTGTATGTATAGGTTTCATATAGGTGTACGATAGCCACTGCTTTTGAAAGCAATACCTATATTGTATATTCGAGGACAAAGACAAGAAAAGGTGGAGAAAGAGCCACGTGCCACTAACCATCGTCTCATCTCCTTTTGAGCAAGAAAAAAAAATTTATAATTTCTGATAAAAAATAATTAATAGAATCAATTTGTAATTCTAACAATTATCAACAATGTTATCAATAATTAATAATTCCAAAAATTCAGGGTACCAATAATTATTGATACCAATTATCGATGGTAACGCATATTAATGGTAACACATACTAATGGTATCAATGATTAATTGTACCAATTATTGATGGTATCATACCAAGGGTACCAATAATTGATGGTACCACTGATTATTGATACCATTAAAAGTTGTCACCCTTAATTATTGGTACCATTTATACTATCAATAACCGGTACCGTTAACAGTTGGTACCATAAATAACTGATACCAGTAATAGTACCATAAATTACTGGTACCACTAATATTTAGTACCATTAATAGTTGGTACCATAAATTACTGGTACCATAATTAGTTGGTACCATAAACTACCGGCACCATAAATAACTGATACTAATAACAGTTGGTACCATTAATAATTGGTACCATAAACTACTGGAACAACTAATATTTGGTACCACTAATATTTAGTACCATTAATAATTGGTACCACAAAAAACTGTTACCATTAATAGTTGGTACCAGAAATAACTGGTATCATTAATAATTGGGACCATAATTAGTTGGAACTATAAGTTACTGGTACCATAATTAGTTGGTACCATAAACTACCGGCACCATAAATAACTGATACCAATAACAGTTGGTACCATTAATAATTCGTACCATAAACTATTGGAACCACTAATATTTGGTACCACTAATATTTAGTACCATTAATAATTGGTACTACAAAAAACTGTTACCATTAATAGTTGGTACCACAAATAACTGGTACCATTAATAATTGGGACCATAAATTTTTGGTACCATTAATAGTACCAGAAATTAATTTTTTCATTGATCTTTGGTGCCATTAATTAATTACATTTATATATAAGATATTTTTAAATTTAATTAATATACTTGAAATGACGTTAATTAAAATTGAACAAGTGCAAAAGATCAAAAGTGCCGAGTATTTTCGAAATTCTAACGTGCGTCAACAATTTGAAAATAGATTTTGTATACCGAGAATTATTAAAGGTACAGCTACCAGGGATTAACTGGAGCGCAATTTAGCTGACCACTTTAGAAGCGCGACGCATCAGCGCAGTGTTGCAGTGTGAACGCAGAAAAACAGAAATAGAATCTTCTACTGCAGAGAGATTTATAGATGGCAAGTGTTTTATCGCTTAAAGCTTATCTCGAAGACGTGTTTAGCATTCCAATGAGACCAGTTTCAACTTGACACTTTGATAAGAGTTTTTTAAATAATACAAAAAAAAAAATAATAATAATAATAAGTTCCATATGTCAGGCATATTATTGACACATTCTTGCGCATCATGTTGTTATTTAAACTTTTAACTATCGTATAAAGCATTCCTCGATTCACTTTTTCTTTTACTACTACTGCATATATAGAGAAGAGTATATATTAATTACAATCAATGCTGCAGTTTTTACAATCATATCTGTTGAAAATTATTATTGACGGTATAAGCGAGTCAACGATCGCTTTCAATGCCGCAACGATGATAAAAATAATGAAACGGATCTCTAATTTTTTTTTCCATTCAAGAAATAAATCGTTTGAAGTATTAATTTTTTCATTTCGATCAAATAAATTTTTCTATATTGATAGCATTGATATTTTTTAATAATATATATAATTATTAATACCATTAATTGTACCATTAATTATTGGTATCATTAATTGTTGGAATCATTAATTATTGGTACCATTAATTAATGGTACCATTAATTATTGCTACAATTAGTTATTAGTACCATTAATAGTTGGTATTATTAATTATTGGTACCATTAATTGTTGGTTCTATTAATTGTTGGTACCATTATTTATTGCTACCATAAATTAATGGTACCAATTATAATTGGTATAATTAACAGTTGGTATCATCAATAATTAATATTAATAATAGTTGGTACCATAAATAATTAGTCCCAGTAATAGTTGGTACCATTAATAACTGTTATTGATAATAGTTGGTACCATAAATAATTAGTACCAGTAATAGTTGGTATTATTAATTATTGGTACCATTAATTGTTGGTACCATTATTTATTGCTACCATAAATTAATGGTACCAATTATAATTGGTATAATTAACAGTTGGTATCATCAATAATTAATATTAATAATAGTTGGTACCATAAATAATTAGTACCAGTAATAGTTGGTACCATTAATAACTGTTATTGATAATAGTTGGTACCATAAATAATTAGTACCAGTAATAGTTGGTATCATTAATTATTGGTACCTTTAATTGTTGGTACCATTAATTGTTTGCTACCATAAATTAATGGTACCAATTATAATTGGTATAATTCATAGTTGGTACCATCAATAATTAATATTAATAATAGTTGGTACCATTAATAATTAGTACCAGTAATAGTTGGTATCATTAATTATTGGTACCATTAATTGTTGGCACCATTAATTATTGCTACGATTAATTATTGGTACCACTAATTATTTGTAACAATTATTGATTGCATTGATATTTATTCTCATTCATAATTGATACCATTAATCGTCCATATCATAAAATGGTTTTAATCTTTATAATTCTTTATTTTTAACTAAATAAATATTTGACGTATATTGTAATAAATAATAATAATTATTATTATTATCATTAGCCAGCATTGAATGAAGAAGTTTGAAAGTAGAATCATTTTCTGAATGGGGTAAACAATATTTTTGTAAAAATCGAAATTTGATTTAAATTGCCCGGAAAATCAATTAATATGCGTGAGTGAGTGCGGAAGATACTTGGTGATATACGATATGTAGGTAATAATGCCTTGAGCATGAAATAGTAACCAAATGAACGTAACTCGTGAGAAAGACCAGACGATTATTGGTAGATAGAAACGTCAAATGCGTGGCCGTTTAGCCATTTCTTGGGGATTTATCACAATTGTAAAATATATTATACGTAATACACATTATCTTTCTATGTATAGCATATATAGGTTAGAAAATGCCGTTAATCCTTGGTGGATTTCTGCGATTATATTGCTTTTAAGTCGTGGGTTTTATATGAGAATGATTATTTTTTTTTCTTTTTCTTTCAATTTTTATCAACTCTAAAAGCCAACAGTGAAATAAATCCCAAATAGGAAGTTACGCCTTTTATCATACACACGGTGTATGTATATTCATCCCATTTAACTGTGTAATCAAACAACGCGATAAATTTGCATTTTCATTCGATGATTACATTCATGTTTCTTCACGTTTATTGAGTAATGAAACAAGAAAAATTTTCTTTACGAATATTTATATGTGCCGAGCTGCTAACACCTTTAGCCATTATTAAATTTATATGTAAATATTATAATAGTTGCTATATATTTATAATTATCATTAAATTTTTCTTATTATTTTATTATTATTATTAAAAAAAAATCGCGAGCAATTTTCTATTTGTAAAAAAAAAATTTAATGACAAAATATACCGTAGACGCGCTAAATATTCTCTTATCGTTAATTGAATTGCACGTGTTTTATATATATATGTATATCATATCGCTGGAAGTAGATTTACAATTTTTTATGATAGTTCGATTCAGAAGCACATATTACCATAACTGATCGATTATCGGGTTGGAAACTCTTCAAGAAAAGACGATATGAAGACTTGCCAACCAGGAAGATGAGAAGGAACTGGTTGGTAACTTTTCATTATTAGCGAAAAAAAATATTAGAAACTAAAAAAAAAAACTTACATTCCTATCATAGTGTGCATAATTTTATCAAGGATGGATACATTAATTATTTCCTTTGGTAATAAACAATTATTATCGGTAATAATTGTCGCTGACTATAAATTTTATACGTTAAAACATCAATCGTTTGGTGTATTTACATTAATAAAGCTCAAAGTTAGAGACAATTTTTGAATTTTATAAAATTTACTATATTTATTAGGATCAACGGCAATTGAGCTACAGACGATCAAAATTTGAACAAAAAAAATTCGTACTTAGTAGTATTAATATTATCAATAAACAATTAACGATAACAATAATTATTAATTCTGCCAATAATTAGTGGTACCAACATTTAATTATACTAATAATTAATTATACCAAATATTAATAGTACCATAAATTATTGGTACCAACTAATTCGGGGACCAGTGATTAATAGTATCAAAAGTTAATGGTACCAACTATTTATGATATAAATATTCAATGGTACCAATGATTAATGGTACCAACGATTTATGGTAGCAATAATTAATTGCATTAATGATCAATGGTACAATTATTTACTGGTACCAACGGTTAATGTTATCAAACATTAATGGTACTAGCTATTAATTGTACTAACGGTTAATGGTACCAACTATTAA